AATGATCTTTCTTATAAAAATGGCATACTCACTAATCAGGAGAACATCATTTGGTAAGGACTCAGAGCAGAGGCAACCAAATGGCAAAGGGAATTGCATCATCATCATCATCATCATCATCATCATCATCATCATCATCACTTTACTGTCATTTGTGCATGTTTAACAGTGAGGAAATATCCTTAGCCTCATCTCAATCTTTTTCAAACAATGCAAGTTGGTTAGCTCTCCTTTTTTTTCCCTTCCCACAAAGTGTGATTGACAACTATCCTCCAAGGGGCTTCCACTGAGAAATTGTAAATCAACCATTTTGGGCTATTGATCAGCAATTTACTTTACACATAAGACTCAAATGTTAGCTGTAAGAGTATATTTTCCAATTAACATGTCATCCTAAGGGTTTTTCCAACCAGTGATTCAAAACATTTTTCATCATGCATGTACTGTAGCTTACTCATAACTATCCTCACTGCTGTTACGTTGATTGACTGATGACTGGTTGAAAGGCATCATAAGTCATTAGTGGAAAACTCTCTAATATAGAAGGTGCTGAGTGTGCTCTTGACATACAGAATATATTAAGTAATTTTTTGCAAAGTAGTTCTACCAAATTTTGGATCATTAAATATTAAAGCCTTCAGAAAGTTGGAGGAGGGTTGAAAAAGCAGAATGCAGGGTCACTGTGAAACATTGATTGAAAGAGGCAGTCAGTTTATTAGGCAGCAATTCATTCAGCTTTGATCTTTCAGATTCTCAAATTCAGATGCTATCTAAAAATATGCTATCTAAGCCATAGTTTCCTTTATGATTCCAGAAAATTCATGTTCTTTTGAGAGAACACAATTATTTAGCAATCCTGGTACACATTGGTTCATTATCATTCCAGCAGATTGTTTCCAGAATGACTTCTTAAAATATCACAAAATGAGCATGACTGAATTCCAGTCTATTCATTGATAAGTTATCTTGTAAATAATACATTTACAAGAAATATTCTTTATAAAATTTACAGGGGGACATTTACAAAAATGTATAGAGGAAAATGTAGGAATTAAATTATGACCCATAATTTAAAAGCAAAAAGTTGTGATTGTAATGTTACTGTCTTCTACTGTGCTAAAGAGAATCAGAAGTTGGTGCCTTTTTCTTTTCTTTTCTCACATTATCTTTTTTTCCTCCCCCTTTTTCTAGCTTTCTATTACTTTTTAAATTTCTTTTTGTATTTAATATTTTGATAAACTATTAAGAAATTAAAACAAAAAAAGATCTGAACTGATACGGTGTTACTATATTGTCACATCTGGGTTGGATGTGTGGCTTGTTATGTGGTTTCTTCCCACTTCAGCTGCTGACTTCCATAGTTAACTGATGTATAATACATTTTGTGGTAATTAACTGAAAGTGGTTCAGTAAGGGTGGGTGATATATGGCTCTCCAAATGTTATCTTTAGGATTAATCAATTATAAAAGTCATGACTGAAAAAATGCCCATTGAAACTGATGAGTGAGAAAAGTTTCCTAATATACATAAACACACAGAGAGACAGACACAAGCACAAGCACACACAGAGAGGGGAGGGAGTATTTCTCTGAAAAGAAGATGACATAGAATTTAAGATGACCTCAAAGAAGGAAAAATTAGAAATACCCCCCCAAAAAATCATACATAGTGTTTGGCTTTGCTATTGCATCACCAAAGATTTGCCAATTCTACCTATGTATATAAATGTTTGTGTAAATATGTACATTGACTAGAAGCCACACTATAAACAAAAAAATCAGAGGAAGAACAAATAGATATGTTGTGTATATCAATTAAATCAGGGGTGTCAAACTTACAATGTCACGTGACGTGTCGCGACATATCACACCTTTTTTTTCCATTGCCGGCAATAGGGTGGGTGTGGTTTCGGCATGACACATCTGGCCCACAGGCTGGCAGTTTGACACCCCTGAATTAAATTAATACCTTTTCTGAAGTGTTACTTCTGACCAGTGTGTATACAATAAGGCACCCTACTTGCAAAATTAATAGATTCCCCATTGGCTGTATGCACAGAGTTCATTCTCTCATACATATAGAGCCCACCCAGAGGATGTGGTTTTCCCATTTACCAAAGACAGCAGCCCAGGTTTGAGACCCAAATGTTGCGTGATGGGGTAAGCTCCCATCCTCACCTCAGTTCCTGCCAATCTAGCAGTTTGAAAACATGCAAATGCAACTAGATAACTAGGTATCACTTCAGTGGGAAGGTAACAGTGCTCCATAACATCATGCTGGCCACATGACTGCAAAAACATCTTTGGGCAGTACTGGCTCAGCGGACCTTGAAATAGAGATGAACACCATCCCTTATAGTCAGCAATGACTAGCGGAGTAAAATCCACAGCGATTCCTTTGTGTTACGTAAAATTTACTTTCTTCTATCCTGCAACTATAAGATGATCTCCCACTTCAAATACAATTATTTGGGGTGGGGAACACTTATTTTCCTGATTGTATCATTGTGAACACCTAAAGCTATGAAGCTTAGCATTTATGGCATGTATCTAATGAAATATTAAAAACCTTCTAGGTTATCCATACATGGGGTAAATAGAAGGCTTTCTTAGAAATGGACATCAAATTTGTATTTAGTACAAAGGCAGTACATGTCATGTAAAACCAGTTTTCAGTGGGTCAATGTTCACAAAAAATGTACATTGGATTACTTATAGTTCAACTTATATTTCAAATCATTACATATGTTAATGTAACTTTGGGGAAGAAATTCTGTAGCTAATTGTATCAAAGGGATATTGAATTATATTCCTAAGAGATTTGGCTTTATTGAGCAAGGGGTATGACAGAGAATTTTACATAATTGGAAAGAAAATTATTATTCTGATTTTAAGAAATGTTTGTTACCCTTTTTTAAACATCTCTATGTTTTAAAAATATGGTCACAGCATGTTGCTATATTATCTATATTTAATAAGCTTAATGAATTTATTTTTATAGTATTTGTACATATTATATGGGTCTTCTTTCTGTTAATTAGGGGATTTGATTGTATTAAATTCATTTTAATCACTTTTTTTCTTCCCATATATATCAGTGATGGTGAACCTTTTAGAGACCGAGTGCCCAAACTGAAACCCAAAACCCACTTATGTATTGTCGGGTGCTGGGTGGGGATGGCCCATTGGCTGGGTGTGGCCAATTGGGTGGGCATGGCTACAGTGGTAATGGCAGACTGGGTGGGACTAAAAAGCTTTATCAATCAATTCCAACTTTGCAAGATTTTTTTTTCCCGCGAGAAGTTGAAATTGATCGAGTGAACTTTTTTTTCCCACATGGTGGTAGAGGACTAAAGTTTTATAAAACCCAGCTGAAGGCCTAGCACTGGGGTGATAGTGTGTGTGCCTACAGAGAGGGCTCTACGTGCTACCTGTGGCACACGTGTCATAGGTTCGCCACCACGGCCATATATAAACACTTTTATCTTCCTTATTTCTTGGAGATGTAGACTTGCATTTTAACAATATTTTAAATGTACCAGCACTCAGTGTTTGAGTTCAGTGCTATTAAGACCTTAGTGAAGCAGGAACTTACTATACACAGTTCTTATCCTAGTTGATATTCTCTAGGCATCTCTGACTGCTGTGGGAAGGAAAAGTGTCTGTGCATGTGAATGAATGTTGCTGAGAATGAGAATCTCACCTGACCCTCATAAGGCAATGCCGCAGTTATCAGAACACCATGATGAACAAACAGCAACTCTGTCTTACTGGCTTCAGCATCCTAAATTGGTAGATGGCCTCCCTCAGAGGTTTCATGTACATATTAAAAAGCAGAAAAGGGAGCACTCTACATGTGAGTGACTGCTTGGTTGATCTTTCTACCCAAACAACCACCTAATTTGAATGGTCCACTGAGGAGGGAGAGGAACCACTGTAGAACAATCCTTCCAATTCTTAATTCTTGCAGATGATCCAGAATAACATTGTTATTGGTATTGAAAGACACCAAGAGAATGAAAAAGACAAAAAAAATGCACTGCTTCCATCCAGATTCTGATAAAGGTCATTGACCAGAGCAACCAATATCATCCCATACCCAGGTTTGAACACTTATTAAAATGGGTCTAAAAATTTATTTTCTCTATAAAGATCTGTAGTGGCCCTGTGACCACAGTCTCTAAAGTGAATGTTAGACACTAGACAACATATGTCAAGGATGACTGTACCCATGGAGAGCTTCTTAAGAAGAGAATGCACTGTCTCTTTCAAGATTGTGAGGATCATCTCTTCCTGAAATAAGGCATTAGTAATACACACAGACCCACACCCTTTCTCCATGCAGAAGCCAAGAGAGGTAGTTATGTAGAACTCAAATAGCCAACAACATACTAGAGCCACCTATCCATCTCCTCACAGCCCACAGGGCCAAATGAGTTCCACATAACATGGTAAGATATCACTCTTGTCAATTCTTCAGACTCCACTCAAAAAGAATTAAGAGACTGGAGAATTTGAAAGTCAAACTCCTATCAGACCAAAGAAGCAAGATTTACAGTCTCGTTACTCAAGTTGAATACACAGGAAAGAGGCTCACAGAATCTTGGAAATTAAGTAAGAAAACAAGAGCCTTCATTAACGATGTTATGCTCAAGTCTTAATGAGTTGTGTTTTCAAGATTCCACAACTGGCAGACTGAGGTCTCACCTAAGAGATGAGGCTTGAAATCTCCATTTTTTCCTCATTTGTCATAGCTTGAACAGATACTGAGAATATCCTTAAACTGATAAATGATATCAGCTATATAACCTCACAGTAGTCAAAAGTTCTACCTCATGGGCAGGAAGCTGATTATCCTAAACCAAGCCTCTAGACTGCAGTTCACTAATGCAGTAAATGTAAAGTAATAACAGTCTTCCTCTTTTGTTGCTATGGTATAAGGTCAGACCTGAGATTATAACCAAGCTTAAACAAATTCTCTTCTCATCTTTTTCCACCAGTTTCACCAGATGATGTTGCTTCATCTTCCAAATCCCTCGGTAAATTAAGGTGCCATCTGAGATTGGTGTGCAGAGAGAGGCCACTTGGGAGCAATCTCATCAAGATTCAGGTTCCCTCACATTGCTAGCAGGGGGAAAAGCAGTCAACCGAACTTCACAGACTACAGGCAGAATTAATGTACATCTATAAGAATGAATCCATCTGGACCTCTCCCAGAGTCTCAAAATATAAACTGGAAGATATCCAATATGTACAGTAGTTCAAAGACCGTTGAACAGTACAATACATATTGTGCTTTTTGCTGCAGGAGGACTAGCCTTTTTGCTTTAAAATTATAATCCCTAAGCAAACTTTTGATTTTTACAGAACTTTTTCTTAGGTTGGGCATTAAAAAAACTTCATGGTGTTAAAAAACTGCAAAATATAAAATTTTAGGATGAAATAGAGAATGCATTTGCAAATTGTAAAATCAAGTGTATAAAAAAATTATCCAGACAATGAAATAATCATTTCCAAATAAGGTGTAGTTATTAGGTTGTTTTTTAATGGAGAAATATTGTAATTTCAGATCTTTAAATTAAGTATCCTGGAAAGGATAGAGGTTTGGTTTCTTTTTAAATATCAAATTAAATTTAATGCTTCAACTCAAAGTCTTCTATCTCCCTCTGCTGGATTATAATAAAATTACTTTCACCTGGCATTTTGTTCTAGTTCCAGGTTCCAAGAAGCAGCATTTATAACCATTGGACTTGCCACAGACAGATAAGCATACACAGACCAAAAGAACACAGAAGCAGAACCTCAAAGCAGATGACAGAACAACCTAAACAACTAAAGAAGGACCAAATTATCACACTTCTCCCAGCAGACAGAGGCCAACTATGGTTATCATGGACAGAATATAATATATACAAAAAGCCAAAAAAGAAACCTACGGCCCAGTAAATACCAACCCAACATAAAACTGGACAACCTGGTCAAGAGAACTATCAATCAAGAAAGGTCAAATCACAAAAAAAGAACAGTGGCAGATGAGAAGCAGTGGAGCTGTTTACTGCTATCTATGGGTGCCCCAAAATACACAAGCTTAGCAATTATACTGTTGCCAGGGACCCCAAAAAACAACATAGCCAAAGAACTTCTAAAAACAAAGCTTGGACACTTCACAAAGAGGAGTGAATGTTCTATCAACTTCCCACTAGAATGTGTCCAAAAAAATCAAAGACTTAAAACTAGAAGATGAAAGTATGTTTTTATTCAATGTCACAGCACTCTTTGCATCCATGGATCCAGAATAAAAAAGGAACAATTAAAGCAGACACTGATATGAAACTATCAACAACATTCTGATATGAAACTATCAACATTTTCAAAGGAATAAAATTTATAAAGGAAGAAGAAAGCATTACCCTACAAATGAAAGCGAATATATGTGTCCTAGGATAATGTTGCAGGATCCAATCTTGGTTGGTCACCGGGACCAGAGGTTTTGTCTTCCAAACTTTTGGACTCATGCTGGAGCCCACCTTCAGGGATTCGTGAACTAGAATACCATCAAACCTTAAATCATTTCAATCCTTTAAGTAAAGTTTAAATTTCACATGTTATAAGACAAACAAGTCTTATTTAATTAACATTCAATTAATTATTGATTCACTCCAACTCTAAGACATCTTTTTACTTCAAACTCAAAATGTCAGTCCTTACATCAGTCCATAGTTCTAGGTTGCCTTTAATCCAATTTAAGAAATTTTAAATTTCATTTTTCAATCTTATTCTAGCTTTCCTCTTTTGCCAGGTAGGTTTCCATAACAGGGCTTCCCTTCCAGATAATAGGTCTCTTTTTGTTGCTTGTAGTGTCACTTGATTCGATACTGACCATCTTGATCTCTGATTTAATCCTCTGTTTCTCTTGTCCATAAAGCCTCTTTGCTTCAGAAGTCCAAAGTTCGGTCTTTGCTTTTCCTGGTCTTGCTTGTAAGGCAAAATAAGATTCTCCTTATCCTCAGTTAAAACCTCTTCTTGCATAATCTGTTTTGTAGAGTAGTCAAGTGTAGTCTGGGAGTCAGTTTTAAGTTTTAAAGTAGAAATTCTGGCTCTTAGTTCTGTAGTAGCCTCTTTTATTGTAGTACATATTTCTTCTTTAGCCTTATAGATCTTTTCCAGTATAAGTTTACAGTTTAAGTGTGATTGAGGCTTCTCCATTTTAGCAATAGTTGAAGAGCCCTTTTCCTTTTTAGTGAAGGTTACAGTTGAACATTATCCACCCCCACAGATCACACAGCTAGCTCAAATTATCTTTTTTCTCGAAAAACAGTTTGAAGGCCAAAGCTCATCTCATCTCCAAATAAGCAACAATCCAATATTAACTGGATTGGACAGTAGGTGTCCTCAGTGAGCTAGAAAAAACTTCTTTAAACTCCAGTTTTTTTCCCTTTTTTCTGTCTTTTAAAGGGAGAATAGAAAAAGAAATACTCTGCTGATATAATACTGCTCCAAAAAAACACAAAAAACAATTTTTTCTATAGCACAATGTAAGTAGGAATAGAGTATAGTCTTTAAATGAATATTTATTTGTTTTTTCTGTCCTTTTTGTAAAACGTGTTTGTTCCTACAATTACTAAAGCCGCTTTCTCCAAACGGGGAAATGATAGCACAAACAGCTTCTACAGGCAAAAACAGCAGGGGTATGGAGAGGAACAAAAGGGATCTCACCTGGATCATCCGCGGTGGATTAGCCTAAAGCAGTTGACCTTTTTTTACGATTGGATTATAGCCTAAAGCAGTAGGCCTTTTTTCTTTTTCCTTTCTCCCTGTAGATTTACAAACTTACTTAACTGAAAAAATGAGTGCTCTAAACCTTACTAAAATTATGAAAAAACCCTCCTTCTGCACTCTCTTCTGGAACATCTAGTCCAGCAAACCAGGGATCCATTGAAACAATGTTACAACGAGAAAAGCAACATAACTTTCAAAAAGAAATGCAAGCTACATTACAATTAATTCAAGAAACAATACAGAAGAATCATGAAGAGACAAAAAACAACCTAGAGAAGCTAAATGAGCAAATGCTTGACATAAAGACACAATTCAATGTCCATCAACAAATGATTGTTAAAAATGAACAAATAATTCAGAAAATGGAAGGTAAATCAGAAGAAACTGATAAAAAATGGAGGCAATAATGGAAGAAAATGAAAGGCTAGAACAAACAAATCAAAGTTTAGAAGGAGTGGTTGCAGCCTTGGAAATGGAGAAAGCTGTACACTATCTAAGATTTCAAAATATACCTGAAGACAAGGAGGAAGACATAGCAGAAGTGATTATTAACCTACTGGTGGAGGCCATAAAAATAGACAAAGTCAAGATACAACTGGAGATTGATGAAATATTTAGAATGAATTCAAGTTATGCAAGGAAACACAAATTGCCTAGAGAAGTCCATGTAAGATTTATAAAGAAAACAACAAGGGATGAGATGCTGAGAAGAGTTAGAGATGACAATGGTGAGATTCAACCAGTTCGCACCAGTTCGGCAGAACCGGTAGCTAATTTTTTGTTGCCCAGGCCCAGAATGGACTTCTGGAAGCAGCATCCACACAGAAAATCAGTTGTTCACATATTTGAATCCCACCACTGGAAATGACAATATAAAAACAGAGAAATTATGGTGTTAAAACAGATCCCCAAGAGAATAAGGGACACACAAAAACAATATCATTTTCTGACTACAAAGCTAATTGCAAAAGGTGTAAACTTTAGATGGTTAATTCCAGAAGGGATCCTAATTAACTGGAACAATATAAGATATCGATTGAACTCAGTTTGGAAGGCAGAAGACTTTGATGAAAGAAATAGAGCTTTCTTTGGAGAAAGAACACAATACCAACTACAGGATAGAAAAGACCAGAAATAGAACAAATAGCAGAGGAAACAACATCACAAATAGAAGAAAAGAAATAGAAGACAGACCAAGAGAGCATGGCAAGAAAGCAGAGGACTACGAGATTGACAAAACCTAAATATAAGAAAACAAAATGGAGAAGGAAAATTGATTTTTTTTCAGTGAATATAAACGGATTGAATTCTCCATCAAAAAGGAAAATAATCTTCAAAAAATTGCAGAAAGTAAATATTGATATGTTTCTATATTTTTATTAATTTTTTTGCACAAACATAAGTCACAATAGTTGGTAAACAGTGTGATGTCTGGGTTACATTTGTAAAAACAATCCTTAACAATTAATTTCTATAGTCTGTATTTCATATATTAATTTTGTTTACTTTCCTCTTTCCCTGAAACATCCTTTTTTTTGCAAACATTACATTAATATAATTCTTATTGTTTTAATAAGTGACAATTTGGTATATATTTTTTCCAATATTCCTAAAAAATAATCATCATATTAATGCATTCTTTTCTTTCCATTCATTTAAATTGCCTTATCATCAATCCTGTTACAGTCCTTATTTTAGTTTATTTCTCCCACCAAATTCTAAGTAATTTTTACTGGTGACAATTAGTTACATTTACATTGACAAACTTGATTCTATTTTTTCCATATAAGCCATCTCACATTTTTATGTTTCTTAAGTTTTAAATATATTGGTAAAAAAAAGAGGGGAAAAGAGAAAGAACGAAGAAAAATAAAATAAAAAAATAAAATAAAATAAAAAATAAAAGAGAATAGAAGAAGCAGTAATAACAGAACAGAGGAAATAACATAGTACTTAAAATATATATCCCTCCTGGCTTGGTAGTATTTATTTTCTCAAATTTCTTATTCTTTTTAATCATAGTTAAGAATAAATTTAATCTTTAAACATTCTATTTAATAAATCTAATCATCTAATCCCTTAACTCTAATTCAAAACATTTTATATATATTATATATACTTTTCTTGAGTTCAGTCACCTTTAAATATCTAAAACATTTCATCTTTCTTGAAGTATTCCAATATTCCTACTGTTGTGGTTCTGGCTAATGAAACATTCCAAAGAACTTCCAGGCATTTATTTTCCTAAAAGTCTTTTATTGTTACAAAATGTCAGCACAGGCACAACGGAGAGATGCTAGGATCTAAGTTCTCTTCCTCTGAGCAGTTAAATTATCAGCATGTTCCCTCCCTAAATTAGCCGTCATATCTCAGACTATCCAATTAGTGTGAAGGTCAAATGTTTTCTTCCTCTTTCTTTCCCGGGTTTTACCCCCAACGCCCCTTCTGCTCTTTATTAACCCCATATTTACCAGACAATTCTGCATATTGTCAAAAGCAAGAATATACAATATTTGCAGCATTGACATCTGGCCCCCCTTACAAGAAGGATGGATCCTGTAAAATAAACAAAAGCTATGTTAAGGGTTATCTTTCAGTTTATTGGGGTGTTTCATATGAAACCTTTTGACCAATCTGTCAGCTTTCACTTCACTGGATTTCACCCAGGTGGCTTCAGACAACGGGTATCCCTTCCATTGGATTAGGTACTGCAATTTCCCTTTAAAAATTCTAGAATCAAGAATACTTTTTACTTCATAGTGGGTCTGCCCTGCAACTATGAGGGGCCCAGGTGCTTTCTTTGGGGGAGGTTTTAAAGTGGAGTCCCGATAAGGCTTCAACAAGCTACAATGGAAAACTGGGTGAATTTTCCCTAAAAGTCTAGGGAGTTTTAGTTTTACTGTGACCGGGTTAATGATCTTTACTATGGGGAAAGGCCCCAAGAATTTTGGTCCCAATTTCTTGCTGGGCAATTTGAGGTGTAGATATTTAGTTGACAGATAGACCTTTTCCCCAACTTGGAATGTTCTTTGGGGAGCCCTCTTTTTATCAGCCTGCTTTTTATAGGTTTCAAAAGTCTTTTTTAAAGCAGTTTTTGTGTTTTTCCAAACTTCTTCCCACCCTCTCACCCACTGATCAAGTGTCTGGGAAGCGGAGGGCAACTGAGGATATTCAGGTATTGGGTTAAATTCTTTCCCTGTGGCTACTTTGAAAGGCATGTAGCCAGTGCTGCTGTGCACAGAATTATTGTATGCCACCTCCGCAAAAGGGAGGAGATCAGTCCAGTTTGTCTGTTGGTAAGAAACGTAGCATCTAAGATATTGCTCCACCATTTTGTTAGCAGCTTCTGCGGCCCCATTGATGGCCGGATGAAAAGCAGATGATAACCCTTGAGATGATCCAATCAATGTAAGGAAATTTCTCCAAAACTTCGCTGTGAATTGCACCCCCGTCTGAAATTATTCGCTTAGGGGGCACCATGCAGCCGGTAGATATGTTTCAGGAACAATTTGGCCAGTCGTTGGGCAGATGCCTCAGACTGGAACTCACCCTCTCTTCAGGGTTGGGGTCTCTGGCCGGTGAAGGCAGGGTCTGACAGGCTTCCTGCTGGGCTTCCCACTGCTCTTGTGCCCCCCCAGTTGCTGTAGGCCCCAACCTGGCTGCAGATTTATGCCCAGGGGTTGCACATTTGGGGGCTGTGGCCAACCTCCTTGCTGTGCCTGTTCTCCAACAGCTGCTGATCTCCTGGCTTCTGTACCACCCCAAGGCATTGCAAGGCCTCTATTAGCTGTGGTAAGTTCAGAGGACATGGATCAGCCACCTGCTGGGAAGCCCAATCTCCCCATTGCTGCAGAAGATTCAGACTGGGATTCT